GTTTAGGACTGGACCTTCATGCTTTCTTTTTCTAAAAATCTTACAATTTCGTACAAAAAAATCTCTTTAAAAGGTAGGGTAGGCGATTTCAGAGAGGCTACAAGGTATGCAAGGGTATGCAAATACATACGTTGACAGGCAGGTAGGACAGCTTATCGTAGCCCTCGGACCAAGGGATATGATTGGACGAAAATGTTATGGTCCTACGCCTTCCACAGACGATAGAAATACATATAAATACATTTAGACACTTAGTGATTGCTATCGGGATGTGAAGAGACTTTCAATCAGCACAAAAAAAACTGTTTTTGAATCAAATCACCTACCCTGCCTTTAAACCAAGCATCTTTTTGCTGATTAATGCTGCAAATTTGTGACGAACTTGAACCCTGTCACGTTTCGCTACTGTGAGGAGCACGGAGACGAAGGAGCGAGGAGACGAGGAGTGGAATTCAAACATATACTGTAGATTTTTATGAACTGGCGCTCTGGCGAGGGGGGGTGGACGCTCTGGAGGCCTCTAGGAGCAGGGTTCCAGGACGGAAGGCCTCCAGGGTGACACCCGTTCTGGGACCCATGGCAGATCAGGCAGTTCAGGGTGCCATGGCGGCACAGGCAGTTCAGGGCGTCATGGCGGAGCAGGCAGTTCAGGGCGTCATGGCGGAGCAGGCAGTTCGCCATGGCGGAGCATACAGTTCAGGAGGCCATGGCGGAACAGGCAGACTAGGAAGCCATGGTGGAGCAAGCAGTTCAGGAGGCCATGGCGGAGTAGGGAACTCAGGAGGCCATGGCTGGACGGCCTCTGTGGCCTTGGCCTCGCCACTCGGCCCGGCCACTACGGACGGACCCATACAACCAAGGAGTGGAATTCAAACATATAGGGTTTAATGAACTTCCAGGGAACAAGGAAAACACACGTAGCAAGGGTAGACGTATAGAATTCCGGACGAAGGAAGAACAGAACGGGCTAGAACACAAATAGGGCCGATAACGAGGGGCAGACAGGTGAGGAGAATAACTAATAACAAGGAACACCTGGAACTAATAGAACTAAATGGGGACAGGAACAGGAAGGACCAAATAAGGGCAAGGAAGGCACATGGGGAGCAAAACACACACAAAACAAGGAACAGAGTCTGACAAACCCGTTGTGAAATCTGTGTGGGAAAATATTTCACCCTCATGCAAAGTTCCTTATTGCATGGATTCCTATTGAAATGACTGGATTTTGCCCAAGAAAATTAGCAGTTTGTTAGTGCAGGTTACATTTTTATGCCAATAGGTCAGGGGTGGCGAACGTCAGTCCTGGAGAGCCACAGCCCTGCAGAGTTTTGCTTCAACCCTAATCAAACACACCTGAACAAGCTAATCAAGGTCTGAAGGGTTACTAGAAAGCTACAGGGAGGTGAGTTTTAATTAGGGTTGGAGCTGTACTCTGCAGGGCTGCGGCTCTCCAGGACCGGAGTTCGCCACCGCTGCAATAGGTGGTAGCAAGTGACTCTCTTATATGAGTGAGTCATTTATTCATTTGTTCAACCAGTTTGTTCAATAATGCCACTTCATTCCTAAATGAAACACTGATTTGTTCATGAACTAAACAGCTGACACTCTTTATGAGTGAGTCAGTGAATCATTCACTCAACCAGTTTTTTTTTTTTTTTTAAATGGCGATTCATTCCTGTACGAAACAGCTAACAGTCTTTATAAGTGAGTCATTGAATCATTCACTCACCAATTCATTAAAAAAACACTGATTTGTTCACAAACTGAACAGTGGACAATCTTTATGAGTGAGTCATTGAATCATTCACTCACCAATTCATTCAAAACTGCTGATTCGTTCATGAACTAAACAGCGGACAGTCTTTATGAGTGAGTCATTGAATCATTCACTCAACCAGTTTTTTTTTTAATGGCGATTCATTCCTGAACGAAACAGCTAACAGTCTTTATGAGTGTGTCATTGAATCATTCACTCACTAATTCATTCAAAACCACTGATTCGTTCATGAACTAAACAGCAGACAGTCTTTATGAGTGAGTCATTGAATCATTCACTCAACTGATTCATTCAAGAATGCTAATTCCTTCATGAATGAAACAGCTGACAGTCTTTATAAATGATTAATCGAATCACGCAGTAAACGGATTTGTTCAAAACCACTGAGTGATTCATGAACTCCACTACTGTGTGTTGCTCTGAGATGCAATTATGCTGTGGGTTTGTTTGTTTGGAACTATTTTCATTGGCTGAGCAAAACTATTGTGTCTAAAACGTAATTTCTTGTTTATTAAACTGTTGTATAAAACAATATCACAATCATGCTTTAAAATTTAGTACTGATAAGGTATCTGATCGAACTGTGCAATATAAATTTAGATATGATGAAATATATGACCTGCAAGACTGGAGGCTGTCCGAAGCTTTTTGACCTTTATAAAAAGCAGAGGGGAGATGGCCACATTAAATAATAATTTCAACGTCTGTACCAAGTAACAGGTCTGGATATTACCCTAAAGAGAAAGCTGCATAATGCATTCACATTCTGAGTGCTGCGGGTTTCATAAACAGTTATTTCAACTCAAATGTTGCTGACTCACAGCATTTATAAATGTTTGTACTATTCATAAGCATGTTGTATAAGCAGATCACAACCTTCTTGTGTCGTGCCTTTAAATAAAGTGATTCTGTTTAACATTGACTGCTTTGTGGGCCTTGTGGCAGTGGGCCAGTGTAACTGGGTGCAAAAACCCAGAGAGAGGGAGCCGGGGCCGTGGCACTGACATTCCAGGCTGTTTATGCCAGCTGCTGGCCTGGGGCCAGTGCATGCGGTCAGGCCATGTTTACATCTGTCTGGGCTTCAAGCAGCCACAGGTCTCAGAACAGCACAGTGGATTGAGACAGGGCAGAGAACGACACCCAGACTGTAAACATCAACCATACGCTGATGAACGTGTTGAAATCCAGCGGTCGTGAACGTTGCTCCTCAACCCTTGGTTTATTTTTCCTCTGGTTTATTGATTTTTTTTTTCTGGTTTGAGCTTGCAAATGGATGCAGAACTAACGTTTAAGATTTGTGTTGATGCATGTCATGCGTTAATACCTGGAATTCAGTTGTCTTTGTGTTTGTTAAACAATAGATGGGTTGAGACCCAAAAAAAAGGAAAGAGAGAGAGACAGAAGGAAGGATAATGTGTTATTTAAGTGTTAAAGCAACAGTTCACCCAAAAATGAAAATTCTGTCATTATTTACTCACCCACATGTCGTACCAAACCCATAAGGAACACAAAAAGAGGAATTTGAAGAATCTTCCCACAGCTTTTTTTATATGTTTATATGTCTGTCAAGAGTCGAAAATAATTAAAAAGCTCCATCAAACAGTCCTTATGACTCATGCACTTTTATTTAAATCAAATATGGTGCTTTTTGACATCAGTGGCACCAATAAACACCACTGGCTCTTGTGTGTTTTTTGACCAAACATCAGTGGCGTCAAACCTGTCACCTTATTCCATATTTGATTTTAGAGCTTTTGTGAAAAAAGTGTCAGATTTTCATTCTTTTTCTCACACCAGCTATTGTATGACTTCAGAAGACTTGGAATATAGCACATGAGTCATATGGACTGCTGTTATGATGCTTTTTGATGCTTGACAGATATGGAAAAAGCTGCATGAAGATTCTTCAAAAATTCACTTTTTGTGTTCACTAACAGCGTACGGTTGGCAATGAGACTCTCAGGGTTTAGGATAATAAGAATTATTGGAGGTTGAAAAACGATGAAGAAAAGAGTTTTTTCATCTTATTTCCATAGAGACCTGAGGGAAAGCACAAGAGGAAGCAGAGGGAGGGGGAGGCAGATGACTAAGGCGAGGCGAGGCATCATTTCTTCAGCTTTCTGTGATTCATCTGGGGAAATGATACCACGGCGGATCAGAGGCTAAGGAATGATGGAAGAGTGGCATTAAAGAAAAAATAAACGATTAGAACAAAGCAGCAAAAACAAAAGCGAGACTGGCCAAGATTGTGATTCTTTCTCACACCTTTTAACTTGTCATCTCTCACTCCATGTTTTTCATTTCTCACTTCTGTATCACTTGGGCTCATTTATGGCACTTTGTTCACCCAATGTTTTTGAAATGAGAGGAAAAAAAAAACGAAATTTTAACACTTGAAGAAAGTGAGTGGTGCTTGCCCATACAAGAGTTACCAGCATGATGCAAGGGTGTTTGCCATAGCATTTTATATGTTTGCTAATGTGTTCTGGGTGGTTGCTAGGTGGTTACTTAATATCCCAAATTATATGATGTTCCCCACATCCATGCTCAATGATATTCAGATTTATAAATATGATTCAGATCCTTCCTTAAATGTAAATCTCTGGGATTTTTGGCCCATTTTATTGCATGTCCTCACTACTTCCAGTGCAGTGCGGTGTGTGAAAATTGTGAGAAAATCAAGCACAAAATGAAATCTTGAAGTGTTACACGACAGGACAAAGCATTATTGATACAATCCACCTTCTCACTAAAGGTATTTAAAGCTTCTGGAACTCATTACTAAAACGTTATATTTACTATAGTTAATAATGTATTTAATATACCATATTATAATTATTTGTGATCGACGGTTATTAGAAATATGACAGGAAGTGCTTTCTTACTACCACAGTTTGCTATGGATACTGTGTTTTTTGCATACTATATAGTAGAGAAATATGCGATTTTGGACGCAGAGTAAGATTTTAGTTAAGATCCATATGCATTCAGTGTGCATAAAGTCCATAGTTTACAAAAGAAATAGTACAGCCTTTCTCAAAAAGCTGCAAAATTTTATGTATCACTTGTTTGCGAGCACAAAAGATGAGTTGACGTTTAATAAACACTTGTTTAATACTTAGCATTAGGCATTCACAAACCCTGAATATGAGAAATAGTAATAGTGATGCTTGTCTTACCAGGTATTGAATGCAGTCACTTTCAGAATTAAGATTCGGCGATATGTTTTAATGTTAAAATTCTTTATTTTAAGCAGATTCAGATTTTACAGCCTGCAGGTCAGCCTAAAACAACTGACATGCATGTAATCTAGCACTAGACGGCAATATAAGACATTGGAGAAAAGGTACCTAGCAAGCACAACATAATCAGTGTACAGTATTTTCTTTACTTGAAACGTATCTTTACTTTGCAAACCTTAAGTAGCATTTTGTAACAACGTTTTTGAGGAGAGGTAAAATGTTTGAATGCAGATCCCAAACAGTGATCAACCTTACGATACACAGATGATCTGTACAAGTAATGTGTTTGTCAAACATATGAAACATAGAGATATTATTCAACATATTTCACTTCCAACACCAGAGGGCAGTCTGTTTCACAGTCCACCCATGCCCTCCAAGGAAAATCATATCACAAGTTCTAAAAATGCCGACTTCTGAATATTTGAGAGGTCTGAATGATGAGAATAAAAAGAAAGGCTCTTCAAATAAAAATAACATTCAGCAATTTGTCCCCAGTACATGAATTCTCCAGCAACCCGCTTCTCTGCAGCAATAGTGGGTGAAGAGCGCCTCCTCTGGTGAGCTCACTCCATTGACAGCTGCACACTATCCGACTGCTGCTGATCATATTTACGAGCTGGAAAAAGAGCACAAAACAAGGATTTGAAAAGATCCTGATTACAACCTTACGAAACTACCATGATATTTTCTTCAAGATCCTTACGTGACATATACAATTTTTTTTTTTTTCAAAAAAACTTTTGTACAGATGGACTTTATCTAACATAGTTTCCAAAGAATTTTGACAATTTTGACCAAACTTCATCTGTTATGCAGCTGGATAACTTCAGCATGGACACATTTTGAAACAGCGGGATGTTTAAAACATCACAGAAATGTATTGAAATGTAAAACACATGTACATGATAAACAAACGGAAAAATGTAGTGAGTTTGGAATAATTACGATTTTAATACGTGTTTGAAAGAAGTCTCATTCACCAAAGTCGCATCCAATTGTAATGTATTTTTAAAATGTCATTTATTCCTCTGATCAAAGCTGAATTTTCAGCATCATTACTCCAGTCTTCAGTGTCACATGATTCTAATATGCTGATTTGCCGCTCAATTTATTAATAATGGCTCTTATTACCTCAATGCACATCCATTTAACGTATCCTTGCTGAATAAAAGTCTCAATTTCTTTCTTTTCTTTATTTTAAATTGTACACCAAACTAATAAATGGTAGTGTATCACAGTTTCCACAAAAATATAAAACAGCACAAATGTTTTCAGCATTGATAATAATAAAAAACATTTCTTGAGCAGCAAATCAGCATATCAGAATGATTTCTGAAGGAACATGTGACACTGAAGACTGGAGTAATGATGCAGAAAATTCAAGAATAAACAATTATTCACAGCTTTTTTATATAATATTTCACAATATTACTGTTTTTTCTCTATTTCTGATCAAATATATGCAAACTTGTGAGCATAAGAGAGGTATTTCAAAAAAAACTTGAAAGAAATTATGTTTATTCCAAACTAAAATAAAAATACTTTAATATGTATAATGATAGCGGTTTGTTTTATTGAGTAGTGGCAACCTTGTCTAATATGACAATGTAGTACCACAAAACATTTTTATTTTTTATAATTTAACATGATATGTCCTTCAAACAAAAGCTTTCAGAATCTTTCTGTGGTTTATTTATTATTATTGTTGTTGTTGTTGTTGTTATTTAGTCATATAATTCACAGTTGTATTTACCAACAATAAGTGTACAGATTTTGGGATTTTGTGAGATTTTGAGAGAAACTATAGCTGCCATGGTAAACTTTCCAAAGCACAAGGAGAAAAATGAGCACAACCCACCCAATGAATACATCTCCAGCTGTTGTCTCAGCCGGACTTTCTGCAGGCTGTCGTAGAAGTTGGGCTCTGCGGAGCTGCCGGCTGTTGGCGGCAGAGTGAATATACGCATAATCTTCCTCTTATTTCTAAATGAAAACAAAACAAAAGATATTCGTGGCTGCCATTACAGGACAGATTACAATCTACTGTCATCAACAGCTTTCACATGTTACTGTGATCATGTTCACAGGTTTAATTGTGATCTTGTGATTAATGAATGTGAAATGAAATGCACGCTTACTTTCTGGCGTACATAAGCAGGGCGAAGCTGACCAAAATAACCAGCAGGTAAACATTAGTGGCCTCATTCCAGGCTTCGTGTACTGAATAATCCAAAGACTCGCCATCTGCCATCACCCCGTACCCACCCATAATCAGATTATTATGCGTTTATTAAAATGCGAAAATTAATTGAAGATGGATGAGATTTGATCAGGAAACAGCGACTGCAGAAAAATATATACATTCAGTTCCGGATGAGCGCGTATGCAGACGTAGAGAACTTCAAAATAAAGGTCCCTGTGCAACCGTTTGAGGAATTCGCCTTTTATCACTAGCGATTTGATTATATATATAATTATTATTATTATTATTATTATTATTATTATTATTCATATATATGTTTATATACATACATACACACACACATACATACATCAAGCATAATATATATATATGTGTGTGTGTGTGTGTGTGTGTATGTATATACACATATATAATAATAATAATAATTATTATTATTATTATATATGTGTATATACATACACACACACACACACATATATATATATATATATATATATATGTGTGTGTGTGTGTGTATGTATATACACATATATAATAATAATAATAATTATTATTATTATTATTATTATTAGGATAGTGTTATTGTGATTGGCTCTAGCAATTAAGCAACTGAATTCTCCAGCATCCCATAATAACGTTAATATATATTAATGTTCAAATATTTATTTATTTCAAAGCTTGATTAATATAATTCTATTCTTAATTTATATTTTCAAATATTAATCAAATAACAAAATTACACTATTTTATTGACAATGTACTATTTTATACAATTTCTTTTTATGTTTTTTACAATTTAATATTTTTGTTTTTAAAATGTTGTTTTTTTATCTTTCCCCTCTCTGTCCCTCTCTCTCTCTTTCACGCGCATAAACACACGTTTACTTTGGCGCTGAGCTTCAGTGATGTCTCTTATTATGCCTTGCTTCATTTCCTTCAGCATTGTAAACAGGAAGTTAAATGTATCTCCGTAGGATGGTTTCATTGGTCGAATGTTCATGAGGAGTGGCAGAATACGACTCGCTGATTGGCTGCCCTATAGAGCATATGATCCTAAAACAGCCTCTGTTCAGTCTTCATCCCCAATATAAACGCACGGAACATCATCACAGGATCAAGTTTAAAAATGTCGTTACGAGGCGTTCTGAAGATTATTCACCGATCTAAATTTGGGTCATTGGTAAGGTTTTAAAATAAATTAGTATTCTGAACTGTGTCGTATTTTAAAGAGACAGTAAATCAATCTAATGTCACGCAAGAAAACATACCTGCACCTGTATATTTCGCTTAAAATCACTGCACTGTAATCATGACAAATGTATCGCTCTGAATTATTGAACTTGGAAAATGACTTCCTGTTGTTTATTAGTATGAAGTGATGTAATGCATGCAAAAATATTTAACAAGCCCTTTCCTTTGCAGTACTCACTTTCCCCAGCAAGCAGAGTTTGTCTGGAAACAGCAGCTGCTCACACCAGACACAGCAGCAGCAGCAGCAGCAGGTCAGAGGGCATCAGCCGGTATCCAGTGCCAAACAAGAAGGACCTGCCGTTTGATATTGTGGAGCTGATGGAGGAGGTCGAACAGAAGGTTTGGCATCACATTCACAAAGAGTTAGTTCACCCCAAAATGAGAAGTTTGCCATTATTTACTCCCCACATATCATTTTAAACCCATATGGCTTTCATTCTTCCATGGAACTGAAAATATGAAGATATTTGTCTCATATGTCACTACTGATAGAAGATGTGCGTGTGCATCTACAGGGAGGGTTTTTGCCCAATGTCTTCAAGGTTCTCGCCCATCGTCCTGCTGAATTTCGGGCTTTCTTCTCTTATTATAATGCCCTCATGAACAAGGAAAGTGGTATGACCTTTTATTCATGCTTTATGGTATCATCTTTTTTCTTTGAATCCACATCTATACGCATATCAATTTGTTTTTAATTAGTTTGCAACTGGAGCAAGATATGAATCAGATTTTTGCTTGAGGAATTAGGGTTAAGATTTTGGGAAATAATTCTGGAAACTGTCATGTCCTGTAGTTTATCCATCAAATCCATTTTTAAACAAGATTTTAGTAGTTATTTTATAAATATAATTAGAAACCACACTGAATATTATTTTTTATTTCACCTGAAGGGTGATTAAAAATGGGGGGAAATAGTAAGACATGGTGACTAGTTAGGAGACCTACAGTCTACACATTATTTCATTCATACAAATGATATTTTTTTACATTTATTTTTTTACTTTTTGATGTTAAATGTAGATATTTTAATGCTTTTAAGAAGTCAGGATGTGATACAAGTTTATTTTACTTTCGTAACAGGTGGTCTGACAAAAGCGGATCGGGAACTGATTGTTGTTGCGACCAGTGCTCACAATCACTGCTTGTATTGCGTGGTATCCCACAGTGCATTGCACCGCATCTATTCCAAAAAACCCATGCTGGCTGATCAGGTACCTACAAATTTAACAAAACATTGTAAAACTGCTTAACACCCTCTCAGTCTCAATTTTGCAAGAATGCTATAAATAATATGAGTAGGCTTCTAATTGATTTGACTGGTACTGTCTTGTCGCACAGGTTGCAGTAAATTACAGGGTTGCGGAGCTGAGCGCTCGTGAGAAAGCCATGCTGGACTTTGCTCTGACAGTCTGCAGGAGTAAAACGGTAACTGAAGAACATCTCAGCACCCTAGAGGCTCATGGTTTTGACCGAGAGGATATTTGGGACATTGCTGCCATTGCTGCCTTCTTTGCCCTGTCCAACCGGATGGCCCATCTGACTGACATGAGACCTAATGAAGAGTTTTACAACTTGGGAAGAGTGCCGAGAGACAAAGCAAAAGCCTGTGATGGGCAGGTCAAGGGCGAATAGACTCGGATCAGACTTGGGATTAAAGTAATTTTTTTATAACACCAAATCCTTCAAAACTGTCAAATAATCATTAAGCTGATTGTAAAAAAAAAAAAAAAAAACTAACTGGTTGCACATTTAGCTTTTATGCTTCATTGATTACGCTGTTTTTATGTTAGTCTTTACAATGAGAAATTCCTCCTTGTGGCGTTTTCATTCACTTAAATTAGTTAGTCTTTGGTTATTTATTAAAAGGAGAAAGAAGGTCTGAATACCAGTTGCACAAATGCATTCACAAATCACTATAACATTATATTTGTGAGCAGGGTTATCGTTATCTAAAACTAAAACCATAACAAAACATTTTAAATATTTGAAATAAACGTTTCATATGGCTTGTTAACTGAGGGGTGTTACAGAGTATTTGTTAAATATAGCTAACGAAATATATATTGTGTGTTTGATTGGTCCAGACGCTACAGTAACTTGCGTTAATTATTTGAAAAAGTAACTCAGATATTCTCTAAGTAATGCGTTTCTTTACTAGTTACTTGAAAAAAGTAATCTGATTACGTAACTCGCGTTACTTGTAATGCGTTACCCCCAACACTGTGTGTATATATATATATATATATATATATAAAACTTTCTTATTTTCGTTTAGTTTAACTTGAAGTATTGAAGTCAAGTAACTTTAAATTACCTAAAGCTAAAAACTAAACTGAATAAAAACTATATATTCATATTTAAAAAGAACACAAACTAACAATAACAAAAATTAAACTTAAAATTTTTTTTTATTAAAATGAAAACAAAAACATAAAATATAGCAAAATGAAATTCTAAATATTAACAAATCTCAGTTATAGTAAAATAAATAACACTGGTTGTGAAGACAAAGTTTGGATACATTTTTGAATGACTCTCTTATGCAATCAGATAATCATCTAATTTATAATTTATTATGAAACATTTTTAAAAACAAGCCATGCTGTATTTGAAATGATTTGTGTTGTCATGAGCTGGGAACATCACTTTAATATGTGGAAGGAAGGACAGGTCAAAGCCAAACTTGAATATAAAATGTGAAATCTGTTAGTCTGTTTTCAAGAGATTATAATTTTAGAGGTTAATAAATAATAAATAAGTATTTTCTCTGAAAATGTACTTTGAACACTGTTTGATAGGATTTTAAATGTCAGTCTGTAAATACTGGGCTGAATTTATCAGGTGAAATTTCCATGGTGTCAACTGAAGGTTTGTTGAAAGAAAAAAAAAACATTTTACATTGTTAATATGTACATATGTTAAAATTAAAACATTTTGGGGGGAAAAAACGTAATAAACAAAATGAAAACACAAGAAAAACCCTCTCATGAATGTTTTTCATCAAAGTTTGTTAAATCTAAGGCACATTAATGAGGACAGAACTAACTAATTTAGTTTTTTTTAAGTATCTTTAAACAGTATCAATTTTCCATGACTTTTTACATTATCACTGGTTTTATCACAATTTTTATGTAACAAAATTCCTTTACAACATGCATTCACAGATTTGATTTTCAAAAATAATTTATTTGTTTTATTGTAATATATATATATATATATATATTAGGGGTGCTCCGATTGATCGGCTACCAATCACACAAGAAAAACCCTCTCATGAATGTTTTTCATCAAAGTTTGTTAAATCTAAGGCACATTAATGAGGACAGAACTAATTAATTTCGTTTTTTTTTAAGTATCTTTAAACAGTATCAATTTTCCATGACTTTTTACATTATCACTGGTTTTATCACAATTTTTATGTAACAAAATTCCTTTACAACATGCATTCACAGATTTGATTTTCAAAAATAATTTATTTGTTTTATTGTAATATATATATATATATATATATATTAGGGGTGCTCCGATTGATCGGCTACCAATCACTATCGGCCGATAATCGTCACTAGTGCTAACGGACAATTTAGCAGAAAATTGGCGCAGATGGGAGCAATGTTTTTGTCTATATATGACTGCAACAGGAGCGAGTGCTAAACAAGAGCCAGTCAAAATAGCCATTCTGCTACACACCATTGGGGAAGAGGCGTTGGAGGTGTATAATACACTCGCCGTCAATTTAGTTGATGAAGAGAACGAGACGATGGAAGACGTGCTCACAGCATTCAGAGACTACTGCAGCCCACAAAAAAACGTGTTTGAGAGGCACCAATTCTGGTCTCATCCCATGGCAGATGGCATTACAGTGGACAGATTCATCACAGAGCTGAGACAAAAAAGCAAAGACTGTGAGTTTGGCCCAAGTGAGAATGACATGCTCAGAGATAAGTTGGTGTTTAGTATAACAAACCCTTCTCTCAAAGAAAGATTACTTCGCGAAAATGACTTGTCATTGCAAAGAGCTATCGAAGTATGCAGAGCAACTGAGCTAGCCAAAACACAGATAGAGGCCATGCAAAATGCTGCAGTTGTCCAAGACTCTCAAGTAAATGCAATAGAAAAAGCTACAGAATATAGAAAATCAGGTGCAAGAAGTAAGAGCAACAAGAAGCCAATTACACAAAACTGTCGCAGATGTGGAAAGAGCCATGAGCCACGCCAATGCCCAGCCTTTGGAGCAGTATGCCATAAGTGCGGCAAAAATAACCATTTCTCCAAGGTATGCCATGCAGTCATTCGCAACGATAGCAGAGCAAAAACTGCACAGCATAAAGAGTGAAACAGAGTCCATGTACATTGGCACACTAACACATGCTCAAGTGCATGAGATGGAACACACGAAAGACAGTGTGTGGTACACAACAGCCACCATCCGAGGCGTAGAGATAAGATTCAAACAAGACAGGTGCAGAGGCAAATGTGCTACCTGTATCCATTGTCCAGAGGATTCCTGGTCCAGTTAAGCCACAGCCTACATCAACGGTGTTAGTAGCATTCAGGGGAACGCACTCCATCCCGAAAGGCGTTGTGTCACTGAAATGTAAGACCGACAAAGCCACAGCCACATTACAGTTCTATGTGTCCGATCAAACAGACATGCCAATTCTCAGCAGAGCAGCATGTGAGCAACTACAGCTGGTGAAAAGGATTGAACTGCTTGCAAAAAAGTCTGCGTCAACCAAAGAAAAGTTGGTCAACACGTATCCATCAGTCTTCACAGGGCTAGGTGAGTTCCCAGGAGTTCATCATATATATGTTGACCCAACAGTCACGCCTGTAATCCATGGATGCAGAAATATTCCACTATTTGTTTGTGACAAGTTGAAAGAAACACTTCGAGATCTTGTGCATAGAGGTGTTATATCCCCTGTAACTGAGCCCACAGAATGGGCAAACAGCCTCGTTATCACAGAAAAGAAGAACGGTTCACTGAAGGTATGTTTGGACCCTCGTGATCTGAACAAAGCCATAAAACGCCAGCACTATTCCATTCCCACTCCTGAAGATGTGCGTAGCAATCTGGCTGGAAAGTCTATCTTTACCATTCTCGACGAAAAAGACAGTTACTCCCATTTGGCATCAAGTCAGCAAGTGAGGTGTTTCTGCGAGACTTTTGGTGACATACAAGGAGTACACTCATTGCTGATGACATGATCATTGCTGCCTCATCGGTGCAGGAGCATGATGAAATCCTTGATAAGGTCATGGAGAGAGCAAGAGCGGCCAAGGTGAGATTTAATAGTGATAAGATCCAGTTCAAGGTCAATACTGTGAAATACATGGGACACATTGTCACACCAGATGGCTTGCGACCTGACGAGGCAAAGGTGAGGGCGATCACAGACATGCCACCCCCAGAGGATAAACAAGGCCTACAACGTCTACTTGGTATGACTAAGTATTTAGCGCAGTACATCCTGAATGAAGCTTCGCTCACAGCGCCCCTAAGACAGCTGCTGAGGAAGGATGCTGTATGGCAGTGGAATCCCCATCATAGCACTGCTTTAGAGAGTTTGAAGTCCGCTTTCACACGAGCACCTGTGCTGAGGTTCTATGATCACAAAAAAACACTAACAATACAGGCAGACTCGTCGAAAGATGGCTTGGGAGCTTGTCTTCTGCAAGAGGGCCACCCTGCGTGTTATGCATCACGAGCACTCACTGACACTGAGCAAAGATATGCTCAAATAGAGAAAGAGTTACTCGCCATACTTTACTCAGCAAGGAAGTTTCATCAGTACATATATGGCAAGGCAGTGATGGTGCAATCAGATCATAAGCCCCTCGAGAACATCATGCAGAAACAGCTGTGCAAGGCCCCTGCACGATTGCAGCGAATGCTCCTACAGCTGCAAAAGTATGAACTGAACATTGCATATACACCAGGCAAGCACGTGCATATTGCTGATACGGTATCCCGTGCAACCGTAAGTAGAGAGACTGATGAAGGTGGAGACCTCTATGATGAGAAAGTTGTGCATGGCTTGGAGGCCATTGATGCAATGAGTCCACACACACTTCAACAATTGAAAGAGGCCACTGCAGCAGACCGAGTGTTGCAAGATCTGTGTGAAAAGGTAGAGACTGGCTGGCCACAGAAAAGACGCAGCGTAAACAGCAACCTACACAGCTACTGGCCTATGCGACACAAAATTAGCATGCAGAACGGCATTGTAATGGTAGGAGACTAGATAATCATACCTCACAGCTTCAAAAAAGTCATCTTAGACAAGCTACACATAGCTCATCAAGGTATCCAGAGAACAAAGGCCAAAGCAAGAAAATCCCTTTACTGGCCTGGAATGGCGCGAGACATAGAGATGATGGTGGAGAAATGTGCGCCGTGTCAACAAGTCCAGCTCAACTTCAAGCTCACATTCTCCAGTCCAGGATACCCTCAGTCCAATGGACTTGCGGAAAGAGCAATAAAGACTGTTAAACATGCATTGAAGAAAACGTTGCAAACTGGCACAGACCCACATCTAGTGCTACTGTCACTAAGAAATACACCAGTGTCAGGCCTGAATGAATCTCCGGCACAAATGTTAATGGGTAGAGTCCTGCGGAGCACAATCCCATGCTCTAGTGCTGTGCTCCAACAGTCGACCCCACAACACATACACAAAAGACTGGTGGATTTGCAGTCTCGAATGCGGCATCAGTATAACCGCAATGCTAAGACGTTACCAGAGCTGGCTCCAGGATCCACAGTACATATGCAGACCAGACGTGGATGGGTGCCCGCTGTAGTGGAGCACCAGAGAGATGAGCCTCGGTCTTATACGGTGCAAACGCCAGCAGGAAAGACATTCAGGAGAAACAGACGGCACTTGAGAAAGATACATCAGAGTCTGTGCAAAGGTGTTGATCCTGATG